ACGTACGACGACTACTCTCTCTCTCTCTCTCTCTCTCTCTCTCTCTCTCTCTCTCTCTCTCTCTGGATCAACTATTTTTAACTTTTTTCATCTCAGGCAGGTTAATAATTAATTAATTAAAATTCTATAATAAACTGAAGAGTATTTTATATTTCTTTGTCGAAAATATGTTATATTTCTTTTTCCATTTTCTTTCTATCAAAATCGAATTGTTCTGCGAAGAAAATTTCCTTTTTGGAAAAGAATCTTTCTAAATTCTTATTTCTTTATATTCTTTAATAGAAGAATAATTTTCTGTACTATACGATGATTATTTCACATTGACTCGTATGAAAAAAATCTTATGGACTTCTCACGACAAATCGTTGCTCCAAAAGACCAAAAGAGGTGGCGGCGAATGCGAAAAAAAGAACAACCACATTTTACGAATTTTTGAAATCGATAGTCTGCCATAGAGGACGATCGAAGGTGAAAAAGAAGGAAGAATATCGCATGAATACTAATCCAGGGATCCACGAAAATACCTGACCTACGCGTGGTTTTCGATACGCGTTCGGTTCCACGGCCACTCTCTCCTCTTTATTTTTCACCCTTTCTCTTTTTACTCCTCTAACGACATTCGAAATAATCTGCTGCGCGAAATGGACATGGGCCGATATTGGTCCCCAGGGTGTGCTGAAGCTGGCAGACGACACCCGATCGAGGTGGACAGGGGAGTGAGAGAGAGAGAGAATAAAAAATAAAATAAAATAAGGGCGAAACGAGTGTCGATATCCCTGCGTGTAGCCGGTCCAGGACACGATCAGGATGGCTGGCGGCTACCTCGTGGCAATCGACGCTGCTCCTGACAGGAGAGAGTCACGTTTTCGAGTTCACGTTTCACTTTGCTCCTGCGTGTACGTTTGCTGGTGACATCGATCAAACTGGTGTACGATACCTGTGCGCTACTCGATCGAGACTTTTCAAGAAGGAACGTGGCGGGGATGTAATCGATGATCCCACCGTGCGATCGAGACGATCGTTGATGGATTTTCGTTAGTCGATTCTCGAATTTTATTGAGGAGAGATTAACAACTTTTGAGATATGTTTTAACTTGAACGATAAGGAATTTGTTGAAATCGAATTAGTTTCTTATAACGGATGTGTTGTTCGACGATTTTATTTTCGTTTATTAACATATCACGATATTTTTTGAATTATCTACTTCTAGTAATTATTATTTTATATTATTTATTAATTAAAGGAGTGAAATATGTATTTGTATTGCCTATTAAATATTAGTATTAAATAATTAATATTTTATTTTATATATTCTATATATTTTTGTATGCATGCAAATGCATACGTATAGGCGAAACTTTTTGCCTGAATATCTCGAAAATCGATTAAATTGAACTTCGATTTAATTTAGAACTCAAAATTTTGAATATCAAATATCATTATACGAATAAATTATCTTGAGATATCAAGTTCATTAAAGAGAACATTATATAGTCTCGCTTAGACTTAGATTTATTAAATCCTTCAGTGACAAATTGCTTGTTGTTGATATCTACTATTAGATTCGAATATCCACCCACGCAAATGATATCATTTTCAGGTATTCCGAATAATAAAAGTCGAAACACAACAAAGCGTGTAGGCAGCAGAAAAGAAAAATTTTTGACGAGCTTGATAGCTTAACTTGTTTGACAAATTGTCTCTCAATTTTTATTAAAACAAAAAACGATTCTCCACTACTTTCAATCTTCTCAGGGACGAATTTTTTTTTTACTTCTCTCAGATATTATTAAAACCATTTAAAATTAGAGTATCATTATTGTTCATTTCATTACATTACTTACTATTTCTCTCTCTCTTAATACCTAAACCATCCAATTCTATATACGCATAGAATTTTCTTAAACGTTTCTGAAAAACATCTCCTAACATTCTTTGGCGAACGAATTCTGGAAAGGCGATTATGTGAACGCGATCTTCCGTAACAAAAGTATCGCGCGACATTTTCATGAACAGTCACGGTGCTATCGAGCGTGCCTCGACAATCGTCTTGAAAGTCTCGTAGCCCGCGATACCCTCAAAAACGACACGTATATACCGGTTCCAGGGAGCGTGATTGGAAGTACCTACGGCGCAGCCGGCACAACCCCATCCCCGCGATAAGGCAGCGCGATGTCTCTCGCGGAGGGCAAATAAAAGGGGGCGAGTGTAATCGAAAGAGAAGAAAAGGGCAAGGGTGGAAAAAAAGAAAGAGAGAGAGAGAAAGAGGAGAAGGGGAGGGGGAGGGAGCACACGGACAGAGTTATCGCGTTCCGTCTGGGCCACGTCGCGGCGAAGTCGATTTGTAAGGGGAAGAGGGTGAGGGAAGGGCGAACGTGGTGGTATAGGGTGGGGGAGGTGGATGGAGAGAACTCGAAGAAAAAGTAAAACGAGTGAAGGAAGAGGAACGAGACGAAATGGTGGACGAAGGAGAGTGTGGAATAAAGAGGCAGGGAGAGAGAGGGTTAAAAGACGAAAAGCGAAGAGGAGGAAGAAGAACAAGCAGAAGCTGTCGGCGGAGGTGGAGGTTGCTCTGCACCGGTCGGTGCAGTGTCTCGACGAGGAACAGGACCGGCGAAGAAGGTGAGGATACACAGAGGGCAGACGGGGCGAAGGAGGAGAAGAAGAGGAAGGATCGTCGAAGAGAAGGAAGGGGAGAAACCGGAGGACTCGTAGCAGCGACCCTGAGATATGATAGCCGGTTATCATACCCTCCCCACTATCTCGTTTTGCTGCCTTCCCTGCCACCCCCCTTCCTTCCCATGCTTTTGCTCGTACCCGTATCCACCCCACCTTCTCTCCGTACGAATCCCTCCAGCCCAGCAAACGTCGTCTTTCGCCTCTCTCCGCCGACCCTCGTTCGGCCCCAACAACCTCCTGTCTAGACGGCGCGTACACAGACGCGGCCAACTTCGCACACAGACGTATGCTCGCGCGCGCAACTGTCTCGTGCGACTCTCCTTCTCTGTCTGTACGCCGCTTCTCTCTCCCTCACACCACACCGATCTCTCTTACTCGCACTCGGCCTTTTTCTCCTTCCACGGTGTCTGTCTCTTTCTCACTTTTTCTCACCGTGTATTAAGCCGCGTCCACACGCACAGGCCAGACACGCGTTCGGTTCACTCGCGAGCGATAAAGCCATCGCCGCCATCGTCACCGTCGCGGTCGTCACAGGCGACGTCGTTGGTGCATCTATGCCGATGAGACTGTGCGCTATCGCTACACGCGGTTTGATATGGTATGTACACGCAGTCTGATATGGGGAACAAAAGATAGAGAGACTACGTGGTGGTATACGCTATGCACGAATCATCGTCTGAGGCTCGCGGTTGTTTTGATCGCGACTCTGCCTCTCGGTAAACAGACGAGAGGCGGCGAAAGGGAAAGTTTAACCGTGCCACGAAAATGTTCGAGCTATTCCGGCCCCGGCTCGCGTTTAGCCGCGCGGAACAGTTACAGCGGCGCGAAACAAACGGAGAGAAAAGTTTGCCTGGATCGTTATAAAGTGCATGTACAGGTATAGCATCACGCTCGAACCTCGAAGAGGAACCCTTGGTTGCTATCTGAAAAGTTATGGTCGAAAGCTGGAAAAGTTAATTACGTAATTGTGTTACGTCTTAGATGCTTGTACGGATGATGCTTTTCGTCGGATCCTCGTCTCGAAGCAACGCACAAGTATCGAAATACTTTTACCTCGAAAACCGGAATTTAATATAAGAGACGGGGGTCGTTAAGAAGAACCATGGGAGCGTTAGTCGCGTCGCCTAATGGAAAAGTTTGGTCTCGGTCGGCGAAATGGGCCGTGTGTTGGCTTCGGTGGAAATAAAACTGCACCACAGACTCCCTATGTCACGTGTGTGCTTGCCTTTCTCCGGTGACGTTACGTCCACCCGATGACCGAGCACACGCACGGTCCGCCGCTCGTCAAAACACGGATCCCAGTCAGTCAAAACGACATTAGAGACGGCAGACGGTTCGTCGTGGCACGACCTTGGCCGAGGTAAGGTCAGGCGTCGAAGTTCCTTAAGGCGCGTCTATACTACCGACGACGACGTCGCGAACGAGAACCCGTATACCCGAACAGCTCTTGCGAGACTGTCTCTTCTTGCCTATTTCCTATCTCTGTCTGCCTGCACAGTGTCTCGTTCCTCGTCTCTCTCCGTCTGTATCTGTCTATCCATATCTCTACCTCCTATCTTCTTTCTCTCTTCCTCTTGCTCTTACTCTTGCTCACTCCAACTGTGCGCGGGTGTGAGAATTCGTCTGTGAGACTTTGGCCTCTTGGTGTTAGACTACGGCGCGGTAGTGGGGGTTAGCAACGTCTGGTAGTGCCGTGGAAAGAAGTCGTGTATGCGTAACCGTCTGTGCAACGTGTATCGTGCTGATGTCGTTGTGTTGATACTTGCATGCTTATTCGTGATATAAAATAGCTTTGACGATGAGCCTTTCTCCAGAAAGAATCCTTTGAGACTAGATTTAGATTGATCGAAGAAATTGTACACCAGTGTATTCAAAGAAGAATCGTGATGAATATGACATTCGATGAATATTACGATACGATACGAAAATCGAACGTGGCGCATGCGCGTTCAGTCCTTGCATCGAGCGCGATCAGTAGTCGCTTTGGCGAAGCTTAATTGACAATGGCGATTATCCGATTCCGAGACTGCTCTCAGTAGAACGATTCGACGAGCTTCTTTTATCGTTACTATTCCTGGTGTGCTTAATTGAAAACTATTCTCTAAACGGCGGGCTCGCGTATGTGTATGATACCCATATCGCATCGACAAAGTATTATCGATCGTGCCGTGCGACCTGACGGTCGATGCCAGTGCAGTTGAAGTATCAACCTGTTATAATTTCAAGGGTAATTTCACCCTCTACAGGGTAGAGTAGCACACTCGAATTAATGGAACCGGCTGGAGCACCGTCGACGAGAATAATTCGCGCGAGTGAATATACGTAACTGCACGCACGCACGCGTGCGTGCGCGCTCGATGCTTGCTCGCTCGCACGTTCATTTCTCCCTCTTTGCCGGATACATGTAGTCCTCTTTCTTTCTTTCGGAGATTTCGACACTCGAAATTCCGGAGTTTTGCCTTCCGCACTGCCGGCGAAAGGTAATTACTTTCCGCGCCACGACACCGTGACCGTGTATGTGCGCGCGCGCGTGTGCTTCATCGTTGGTGAAAATTTTATGACTCTCCGGAATAAATTTCTCGTTCATGAAACGGCTAAAAATGGGTATGGGGATAACGTATGATAAAAAAATAAACGTTTTCCGATATTCGGTTTCTTTTACTGTGACCGCTCATAATCCGATACTTAAAATACCTACATAACCCTCTCGAAATTCACCTGCTCTCGAGTCTTTATTAATTAAGTTCGAGCGATCACGCGCGATTAATTGAACGCTTCCTGACTGCGACACGAAACCGCGCCGTCGTGTCACCGTGTCGAGTCCTTGTCGTCGGCTTCCCTCCTACCAGGATAACAGCGTGCCGTCCTGTCGCGAGGATATCATCGTTGGCACTATCACACGGATGATTTTTGCGTTCTATTCCGATATATACTGGCTTAACCGGCTGCTGGCCCAGACCATGCGTGTATTGCTCGTCTATGTACGTGTCTCATATACAGTCGTCTACGTCGATATGCTCGCGCTATTACACGCAGGACACCCGCTGCACGAGTGCGCACAGGCATATCGGTGACTCGTGTGCGTACGCGCACCGACGTCTGCCAGTGCATCAGAAAGAAAACGATAGATTGTGAGTCTCTTTGCAAGGGGAAGGGTGATGGAAGGGATAGAGGAGAAGGTAAATGCGACCGCTGCGCGGACAGTGAATAGTGGGGGGGTGGTGGAAAGGGTCGACGCGACAATTGGAGGGGGACACGCTCAGCATCGACGGTGCTGCGGTCTGACAGCCACTGGACGAATTCAGTCTGCCGCTGGACTTGGAACGTGTTGGATGTAGTCGGAGCTCTTGTCCAGGGTTTTTCATCGCGGAGCAGGTTCCGCTTTCTAGTTTATCGTTCAGTACGGTGTGTAAGGACGAGATTCAATCGCTAGGACGATTTTCCGTTTGGCACATCGGGAAATAATAAAGTTCCTTGATAGTGCATAAATTTTCTTTCTCGTTGATCTGTGTACAGGACGAACACAAACGGTGATTCGTCCTCGTTCGTTAATTCAGATCGACGCGTATTATCGAAAAAACATCACAACATCACGCCATTGACATTTCTAGCCGGCCATTACGGCGGGAATTCTGCCAATAGAGTGCGTCTTTTTCTAATACTGTGTTCTGCCTCTATGTGTTTCGTGAACGAGTGATTTCTCAGTTAGAGGTTAGAAAAACGGCGACAAGCGGGCTACCAGCTACACATCGATAATTGAGAAGGAAGTCTATAAAGATAGATGATGAGTGGCAATTCCTGAAACCTGTGTCGATACAAGAGGACACTATTTCGAAAGAGAAGAATAGTGTGCAGCGAGAAATCCACGAGTGAGAAACAAGTCTTGTGTTCGAAAGTCAAGGTCGTGCCTGTCAAAAAACACGCGTGTACCGGTGCATTAACGTCTCGCCTTGTGAGTGACGCGAGGATTCCTTTTCACCCGGTTCTGGCTCGAGAGACGTGTGTGTCTCCTTCGCAGAAGTCTCCAGGAATTCTTTGCCTTTTTCTTCGCGTGACCGTACCGCGCGAACTTGTATACGCTATATAGACACCAGAGACACAAACACAATAATACATAAGCATTCACGAGCGGCCAACGGCGTTCGTACGAGTGTTCTGTAAATATCGGTAGGACGTGGAAAAAAAAGGAGCACGCTATCGGAGAAGAACGACACGTGTGGCCATTAGAATACTCGTTAAACATACAGCCTGTGGTCAAGTGGCATCGGGGAAGTGTGAGGTACAACGGATCGAATTAAGCAGAAACCAGGTCGTTTCCTCTTAACGGGAATCGGGGATCGATCGTCGACGTAAACGTATTGAAACGCATGCTATTCATCTATCCTCGCTGCCATGACAGTTTGACATCTGCGCACACAGTTTCAACATTTTTTTTTGCCGCTTCGAACGCTCGAGGCGTCACGCCAATAAAATTCAAGATACGAGAGTTTATATACAAATAATTTTCTAAGAAATTATCTATCGAACATTACAAATAAGAAGAGAAAAAAGTGAACAACAGTGTCGAGAAATTCGAGGAACGAGCTAATTTGACGAAATAGGAACGAGACGCGAGAGTCGGGAGTGTTTATATGCCAGCTTGACAGCTGACGGCCAGTGGTTTCCAGCACGTCGACAACCTGGCGGCACGGTTCAAATGAAGCTGAGGCGTCGCTGCATGCAGACGCTCGGCGTCTCTGTGAAACAGTTGAGGAGAAAGCTGCTTGAATTGGGCGCACGAATCCTTCACGTTCAGGGTTCGAAACCACGCGACATGGCCCTAGTGGTATGTTAATTAAATCAATTTCATTTTTATTCAAGTATTCTCTTTGATAGATATTTCTATATATGTGTGTATATGTTTTTCTGAAATATTTTATATAATATAATCATATATATATAATTCATCACGTGTATTAAAAGAGATTCGTTAAAGATTTAGTTCCTTTGATGGCGCTGCAATTTTCAGCGAATTATTTTGATCGATAAAGTGTCATCTATTATTGGATTGCTAAACTTTTTTTCTATTTATAACAGTATTTTTATGTCGAAATTATAAAAAATGTCGAAATTATAAATTGGAATACCCGTATGGCAAATATTTAACAAATGTAACAAATTCGATTTATTAATTAATTGATCCTTTTCTTATCGACAATATTTAAAAATTCAAGCGATGTCAATTAAAATCACTTCTTATTATTTAATTAGTATCGAGTTTTTAGATTGAGAAATGTATGTATAAAATAATTATTCTTCAAGAATCCAATTTCTATTTAGTTATATACTACATTTTTTGTATAATTTCGTTTGAAATGTTGTCATTATAACACGGACATTATTTTTTAATCGATTATATATTCAAATATGTAGTAATTTTTTATTTATTATTTTTTTTATTTTTTATATAAGAGTTCGTAAACTCATTCTTTTTTATTAATTTATTATTATTGTATTTATTCAAAAGTTGAATAAATATAAAGAGAACGATTAGAAAATTTTTATTCAACTTTATTCTTAAATAAATCAATAGGATTGACAATAATTAACAATACCAATTCACAATTAAATATTTTATAAAATTTCAATTATTAAATAATTTCTAATTTCAATCAGAATTCTTCCCAATAGTTTTACTTATATAGATAATATATTTCATATATTTTTTGTTTTTTAATTTTAACTTAATAAATCAACGATGTCAATCGATTTATTCGAATTTTAAATCGAACAAAAATGCATTTCCTATTGAATCCCCGAATAGGTATAAACAAAATTTTATCTATCGATTTTCACCCTCGTTTTACACCTCAATAGAAGTTGAATCGACGTGGTGATGTTAAGTCAAACATCGAGATCCCCGTGAAAATCTATTAGCGGCATGTCAGGTATATAATCGGTACGTCGATAACTTGGCTAATTAGGCGCAAGTGTAAACGTGACGTGAGCGGATGTTGGCCGGAAAATGGGGCAAACCTGATATCCGGTCAGACGTCGATTTTTAATCGTTTAATCGCGCTGCCCACGTGTTACCTCTTGTCTCTGTTTCACGCTTATCTGCGGTTTCCGTCTACCGTCCACGCAATCGGCTCGTTACAGCTCGCGGCAACAATAATTCGATAAGATAGATCCCCGCGTATAATTGATCTATTAATAATTTCTCCGAGCTCTTTTTGACGTATGACAAATGTCGATCTATGTTTTATCATCGAGAGGTTTGTCGAGTCTGTTTTTTTCGAATAATTTTTCGTAGGATGCAAGATCATTTTTCAAAGATGATGAATTAATTATTAAGTTCATTGTTGATAATTAAATGTATAACAAGACTTTTGATGATTCTTAGAGAATATTTTCGCCGTTTCTCAAAATCGTATCGTTGCACTATAAATTTATTATATTTTTTTATAGTCCTATATAATATTCCTGCTGGCAGGAATCGTAAAATTGCAAAAATTATTTTGTTACCACTTTTTTAAATTTTAACTCCGAGTTTTAAATTCATTAGTCATAAATTAAGGAACTTAAAATCTGCGCTTTTTCAATTATTACTTTTACGTAATTTATTCGAAAAATAAAATTCTTGTATAAATTGTCGAAATTCTTCAAAGCATTATCAGAATATCAGAAACCTATTTTATTAAACAAACACTTCCCAAAATTAATCGCTACAAAAGAAATATTTTTATAAAATCAAAAAAAAAAAAAGAAAAAAGAAAAAACACAAGTAAGTTTGCACTATTTCATAATTCATCTCGTTATACGCTCATTTTTTTTAGAATCAGGTTCGAAGCTTCTCTCCAACCATTGACCAAATTGTAGCTCCATCGTTTGCATAATCAAGAAATCCACCCTCTCGAGAGCGCGAAAGTCGACGATACACATTGGATAGAAGAAAAATAGGAAAAACGATCGTGTGGCTGCTCTCGGTCTCGCCGTGTGGAATCGAGACGGAACGATCGATAGGAGCGAGAACGAGAGAGAGAGAGGCCGTTACACCGTCTGCTTCGTGTTTCTTCCGTCTGGCCCAGAATGCGAGTCGGGCTTTCACTGCAGTTTTCTCGTCTGGGTCGACGCTCCTTCTCCCTCGCTCCCATTACGATTCCTCTTTCTCTCTTTATCCGTCCGTCTGTCTTTCTGTCTCATTTTGTCTCGTTATCTTCTCTCCCTCTCCTTCCTCTCTCTCTCTCTCTCTGTCTATCTGTCTGTCCGTCCGTCCGTCCATCCGTCCGTCTCTCGCCCTTTTCTGTCGGTCGATACCTTCCCGTCGCACTTTTAAATGTCATCAGCCCGATCGTGAGGTCGGCCTCGACGTCTCCTTATACAGGGTGTGCCTAAAATGCCTGACCTCGGCTCGTGTCCCATTAACCGGGAAAAAGAGGTGTCGCGTAAAAATACGTAGGTGTTATTGGGGTATATATCTTTTAAAACGAGTTTCTGTTTTGAAGTTACTCGTTTTATGGGAAAATATTTTATAGATATCTTCCTCTCATTCGAAAGATCGATGCAAATTTTCTCATCGAGTATTTCTGGGATTAATATTTAATTTTTAATATTTCTTTTTAACATCTAATCATCGTCAAATTTTGATCAATCTTTTAGAAGATCGATTTGAGAAATATTTTCGGGATTAAGTAATATTTAATTAGTACATTTTCGAGACATTTTTTGCTTCTTTCATGGAAAAATTGTTGAGATTTTGATCAATTTTTTCTTCATCTGGGAAGATAAATATTGGGACCTATTTTCAGGGATAGATAGTTAGGTGTATTTTCAGAGATAGGAATGATACTGATTCCTTGGAGAACCATTGGAAGATCGGTTTTCGATGAGATCAGGTTTAAATGAGATGGTTGGACATAAAGGGTTATAGGACTGGATCGTTTGGAGGAAATAGTTCCTCTGATTTAGAAAGTTGATAATTGGCTAAGGGATGCATCGAGGATTTTTTTATCTGGTTCTTTTGTCTTCTTTGATTATTTCGAACATTTTGGATCACCATTTGTGCAAGATTCACGAAATAAGAATCCATCGAAAACGTTTCGTTAAAATTCGAACGTTAACCTACTTGGCCCCTTTCTGTCTTCATCGATTTTCCAGATGCCCGCGGTTATTTTTCAGTTCAATCAACCGTCGCTGTGTTGGAGCCCCTTTCTCTCGATTTTTATTTCTCTCTTCTTTTTTTTTGGATCTTTCTCCAGCGTGGTTTAATATCTTCTTTTTTTTTTTTTTTTGTCACTTTTTTCGCATCAGAGAGAACAGGATATTCGAATCTATTCTTCTGTCACGATTCGAACATGTCTCTTCTTCATTGTAGACTAGATATAGATATTATATCTTCGATCTTCGATATTTTCAGATGTTCTTGCATAAATTTTCTACAAGAATTGTTTTGTGTAGTACAGCAATTTTCTCGAAGCGATAAAAATAATCGAGAATTCGTAATATGTGTACTTTCAATACACATATATTGATAATTAGTTTTAAAGCAGTATTATGAAAACAATTAGTATATTTATATTTAATTATTTTTCTATCTCGATAAAAATAAGAATTAATTTTCAGAAGATCGAATCTGTTTAATAATTAGGAAAGTAGAAAACAAATGAAAGTTCTATATTAAAACATTAGAAATTAAATGCTAATTTTTTATTATTAAATGATAATTACATAGAGATAATTACATAATTTTATACATAATTACAGTAACTAAAAAATTTGTTTAAACTTGTTGAGTAAGAGTTTTATAAATAAAATGTTTGAATCATATGTATATATATATATAAATTAAGGGTAAAATTTCTGCGTCCTTAATTAGCATTTTACGACTGTCGGCTGAACGGCTTTTTTACGATTCCGTGACAAATCGTAAACAGCAGCGAGCTTTCTCACACGCGTTCCTCGTTCTACCATGCTCTTGGGAACGCTAAAGACAAAAATGAGAACAACCGACAGCGTCATAGTTCATTTACCAAATTAATACAAGAACACGTGCCTTTCCCTCGTTAGTGGCTCCATAAAACTCTCAAACTCTTTGTATGTACAATGTATACTTATACCAACTAACATTCTTCTCATTATATCTTCCTAGCGCAAAAATCATCTGCTCGAACTTTCAAATACCATCTCTTCGAACCATCTCACATGGTATTTCCCACAGTGCATCCAACCTCTTACCAAGCACACCCATAATTCATAGTTCACCTGGAAGACCTAACCACACCCTTCACCTTTCGATATTCAATCAAACCATTCACGTTTTCTTCTTCTTTTTTGTGTTCCAAAGAAGGAAAGATCATATTAAAAGTACGTCCTTAAATTCTCACGAGCGAAACACGTTTATGATATATAATTGATGACAACTCACTATCCCATCAAAATCCAAACCAAGTTCACAAGCTTAACGAACAATCTCCTCGAACACAGCATCCAATTTCTTATTAATTTCATCTATAGTTTACCTGGAAGATCTAACCACACGTTTCGATAATCAATCTTTACTCGCTTCTTCTTCTTCTTCTTCTTCTTCTTCTTCTTCTTCTTCTATCTCCAAAGAAGGAAGAACCTATTTAAAATAATATACGATATACCTACTTCATTTTTTTAATCAATTAATATTAAGCCAAAGTAATAATTTTATAAAAAAATTTTCTTCAATTTCCTAAAAATAGATCTCCATTTTAAGCAAGATTCTCCATTAATCTAACAATACAATTAATTTCAATTACTAAATATGAATTATCCCATCAAAGTAGAGATCCAAATTGAATTCACATACAATAGAAGCGAAATCTTAACCGTATTCGAATATGTTAATTTATAATATAATATCACGAATCTAACGGTTTATCTAATCTAGGCTCATTAGTATCGAAAGCACGCCCAGGTTCGTTAATATACGCAGTTGCACGCGCGCGCCCCCTCGCGTGCGCGTGCCCCTTAACCATCGAGCAAGACCGTTTTTCCGCGGCGAAATTAAGGTCACCCTGCTCGTTTTCCGCTCTTCTCTTTCTCTCTCTCTCTCTCTCTCTCTTTCTTCTCTCACTTCTCCCTCGCCTCCATTCTCCTGTTCCCTTCTTTTTATCCCGAGGCTCGTGGGAAACGCTTTGGAGGCTGCTCTCCGTCCCAGCAACCACTCTCGTCCAGCCTAGCGTCGATCGACCGTGTCGACGCGCGCTTTTCACGTTCCACTTGCCTCGATCCGGAAGATCCAATCGCGATTTTTTTTCGAACTATTTTTCAAACTTCTCTCTTCACGTCCATTTTGTACCTCGTGATTTATCGTTGCCGATACGAATTTCGAATACGATTTTTTTCTCTTTCTCTCTCTCTCTCCTCCTCCCCTCTTTTCCCGTGTAACATGGAGGATTTGCGGACGCTTCGATGGCGCATGCTTTCGAGTGCACGAGGAAAATGGAAACGCGGATCTCGAGTTTGGAATCGCGTAATCCTGGTGTAGCGAGAGAGGTTCCTCCGTGATCGATGTTGATACCGGGGAGGGATCTAGCGATGCTGCGGCTTGTCGTTGAGTGGTAGTTCATTTTTATTTGGAGATCTCGCGTGGATTTATCGCGCGATGCGATTTTTAACGCGGATTTTTCGGCATGTTTCATGGTTGCAGCGTTTCGAGTGTGATTGAAGATTTTGTGCCTCGAGTTTCGTGTTTCGTTTTTGGGGGTATTTGCGGTTGCATTCGAATTTTGGTTTAGATTTAAATTATTCATTTACTTTCTTCAGTTTTTTCTATCGATATAAAACGTATTCTTTTTGATTATCAATTATTACTATATTAAAAACACTTTGTCTCAATCTATTCAGAAAAGCTTACTTTACTTTTTTGTAAAGTCTTTCTTTCTATTAATTCTTTACAATTTAATCTAAATAAAAGCTTCATTGCGGAAATAATATGATCCATAATCAAACCATAAAACATTCGTTCATTCGTCGTCTTTCTAATATAGCAAAAGGAAATATTTAATTAATCGATGATCAAAGTCAATACAATCATCCTAATATTATCACGCCCTCGTGCCATTTAATTTTCATACACTCGCCTTCAAACACTCGGGCATCGATTTAACCGTAACGTAATCTCGTCGCCACAACCCTCGAAAATTTCACCGGTAATTACTGGTCTCACCCTGTACAGTGAACGGAAGTTCCGTCGGTGGCGCTCGTCCCGATTCACGCACCTGTAAGGCAGAATATGTTACGCATCATTGCCGCTTCGCGATCCCATTGTGATTCCCTCGACGCAATTTACGAGGATGATCGCGTATTCATGTTGAAGTACGCAAGTCTGGCTAACGCGACAATAGCTTTAATTTCGCGATTATAACTTATCTCCTCTGTGATGGAGAAGCAGGAAATCGGCGAGAAATTATGGTGATGAGGAGAATCAAGTGTGAATTGATCGTACGTTAATAATACCGTGAATACTTCTTTTGCAATTTTCTCTATTATTTTGGAATCTTTGTTAAAATATATTTTAAGAAAAAGAATATTTCACAATTTTGCCTTATAAATTAATTAATATGCAATACCAATTGTAAAGTATTTTATTATATAACAGTTTATATATAAACAGTTTTGCACAAAAGGTAAATCTATAAGAATTCAATAATCTCGAGTCTATCGATTATTCCTATTATCTTTAACTTTTCAAATAATCAGAATTGTTGTTCAGATAAGTAGATTTAATTATAAATATGATTCATTTTCCCGATTATCCAGTGCGTTAGCCTATTCTATTACGTCTTTGTTTTCATTCGTAATATAGATTCGTATAATCAGAGGCTTATAACACTAGTTTAGATAAATAGAAGCTCAGACAGAGTTCGGTTAATAAAGTATTCGTGAAAATTTCGTTTTGATAAATAAAATTCTACTGTAATTTATAATATCAGACCAACTTTAATTTTTATTTGAATGGATTTCATAAAAATTGAAATTATTTATCTAGCATTTCTATTTAAAAAAAAAATGAAGT